ATTCGAAAAACTTCTGTTTGCCAAACAAAAATTATTGCAGAAAAAAATTAATTATATCATAGAGAGGACCCCGGCAGATCCTCATGACTGGGTCATATAATATGTTTCTTAAAGGGATAGTTCACCTGAAAATGAAAATTCTGTCATTAATTTCTCACCCTTATGTCATTCCAAACCCCTAAGACCTTTGTTCGTCTTTGGAACACAAATAAAGTAATTTTTGATGAAATCCGAGAGCTTTCTGACCCTGCATAGACGGCAAAGGAACTACCACGTTCAAGGCCCCTAAAGGTAGTAAAGTACATTGTTAAAATAGTCCAGAAGAACTAGAAGAATCGTTTTTACTTTAGTGGTTAGACTACTATTTTTCTTGAAAATAGTATAAATGTTTTCAGAAAACCACATGTAATCAACACAAATGCAAAGACTTGGCAAACATTTAAAACCAGATTTTTTAATGATTTCTCTTTTTCTGTTGTGTACTCTCTTATCTGTCAGTGACACATAAGGAACAAGGAAGCACTTTTACCTTTTCAAAGACATTGGCAGGAGTCATGAGGCAAAAGCGCAGGTTCTGCACGACCGCATCCGTATGTCTCCAGCGCCGCCGGTCATGTCTCAGCCAGGCCTGCACCGCCTCGTACAGCTCAATTTCCGGAAATCGACTCAGCTGGTCACTATCCAGATATGCCATCAACTTCTCCAAACTCAGATAAGATAGGAAGTCTGGTCGTGTCATCAAGGGCACAAAGTTCTCCAGCAGAAACGCATCAAGCTGGTCCTGTACGCCTTCCACGCCGACACTAAAGTCTTCCAGCAAGCGCATGACCTCAGCACAGTTCTCCAAGCAGATCTTGGCCAGCAGGAAGGAGCAACAGAACTCTACAGCCTCGGTGAGTTGCACGTACATGGCAGCCTGCAGGATCTCCTGCACCGTGAGCATGCTCAACTCCAAAGAACCGTAGTACATGAAGCGAAGGACGTGACCAAACCCGGCTGCCGTCAACCCCTTCATGTGAATCTTATCCTGGTCACGTTCCCGCATATCGGCCGTGAACATGACCCGGAAATAGTCGCTTTGCGTTGCTAACAGAGCCTTGTGTGCCTGGAAGTGGTGCTCCTCGATGAGCAGAGTGACATCGAGCAGCAGTCGCTCCTCATACAAGGCTCTGAAGCCCGACGACACGCTGCCGTCATGCCCTTGGGAAAGGTACACCTCCACATCCCCCGCCATTAGGCACCTGCAGAGACACAAATGCTCTTATAAATGATGTGTCAAGACGAGTCGATATGTTCCAATTCAGCTGGTCATCTCTGCAAGGTTGGAAAGACAATAACTATGATGGAGAGACAGACATTTTACAGCTTTCTCTCAGGTATCTGATAGAAATAAGACTTATTTGTCTCATCTTGGAGGATGGTAAAAGCCTCTTAAAGGGACAGTTCACCCAAAAATGAAAACTTATTTTGAAACACAAAAGAAGCTATTTTGAAAAATTTGTCCACAAAATGAAAATTAGTGGGGTCCACATTAATGTTATTTGATAGACAAAAACTAGTAAGTCATCAAATAAAAATGAGTCAAACACCATTTAAAAGTTTAGGTTCAGTTAGCCTCTCTCATCTTTTTAAGTGGGAGAACTTGCACAATTGGTGGCTGACTAAATACTTTTTTGCCCCACTGTACATGTTACAAAAGATTTTTATTTCAAACAAATGCTGTTCTTTTGAAATTTCTATTTATCATAAAATCCTAAAAAAAAAAATGGATCTCTGTTTCCACCAAAATATAAAGCAGCACAACTGTTTATAACATTGATAATAATAAGAAATGCTTCTTGAGCACCAAATCAGCAAATTAGAATGATTTCTGAAGGATCAAGTGACACTGAAAACCACAGTAATGGCTGCTGATAATTCAGATTTGCAATTACAGGAATAAAATACATTTTAAAATATATATTCTTTTAAACTGTAATTGTAATAAAAAAAAATTATTGTAATATTTCACAATATTACTGTTTTTACTGTAATTTAGATCAAATAAGCTTTGGTGAGCATAAGGGATTTCTTTCAAAAACAACAACAGCAAAAATCATACCGACCCCAAACTGTAGCATAAATTATGAGGAGATTTTCATTTTGGGGTGAACAATTGCTTTAAAACAAGATACAATTAAGCATAATTACATGATCATTGAACTAAACAGCATCTCCTCAAGCTCTTTATCAACCAAATCGTGTGAACTATTTGTATTTTAGTGAATAATAGTTGGTGAAAAACATGCCAGATTTAATAAAGCCTCTGGAAGGACTTCAAGAACTTTCACACCTCAGCACTTCAGTTTCTGCTACTGAAAGCCAAACTCTATCTCAAAGCTCCCCCACACACACTCCCCCTCTACTGCACACATACACACCCAGCACACTCACCTCTGATTGGCCACGGGCATGTCACAGGGGGGTGTCCGAGCCAATCAGAGGACAGTACCTCTTGTGTCCGTAGGAAATTAAATTCTGAAGATATTCACCTAAATGACAAATCGAACAAGCCCCAATCATTAAAATAACGTGAAAATTACCAACAGACTAAAATACTAAAGATGTACCAACATTTCAATATTCCACTGTGTGCAAACAGGAAACAACTACTTATAAATGGAGGCAGAATTTGATAGACTATTTTGACAAAAATATATCCTGGCTTGCATATTGAAACTACAACATATTTGTGCACAGAGGCTGTAATTTTTTCATATAAAATTGAGATGAAAAGCAGGTTATGTGGCTTGTAGAAAAGTAGAGGGTGATGATTTTCTGATATTACCTTTTAGAGGCCTCCTGGCCAACTGTCGGCTTCACTGCGCTGAAGGGACGTTCACATTTCCTCTGCTTATATTTGCCCTGCTCTAAAAAGAGATGACATCCACATGCTGATAAATAGACAGGTATTCTTTCATTTCTGTGTTATTATTATGTAATTTCACACTTGAAAATGTTCTGCTAAAGAGTTAAAGAACATATCAAATGTTACTCATTCAGAAAACACAGAGCAACATCTGATATGGTGTATAACAAATGTTTGGCCTTTTTTTAGTGCAAGTCTGAACAAGTGCATATATATGAGGGATACTTTGTTGTACAGACATTTTGAGATTGTCACATATATTCATTTTCACAAAGTCTGCTGCTACAGTGTTTTTAGATCTATTTGTCAGATGTTACTAAGTAACAAGTTACTGAAGTATAATTACAAGAATTTCATAAGTGTCAAAGGCTTTTATTGACAATTACAATAAGTTTATGCAAAGACTCCGTGTTTGTTTTTGTTTTTTTGCCGTGTTGGCCCTTCTTTTTCAAGACCTCTGCAATTCGCCCTGGCATGCTGTCAATCAACTTCTTTGCCACATCCTGACTGATGGCAGCTCATTCTTGCATAATCAATGCTTGGAGTTTGTCAGAATTTGTGGGTTTTTGTTTGTCCACATGCCTCTTGAGGATTGACCACAAGATCTTAATGGGATTAAAGTCTGGGGAGTTTCCTGGCCATGGACCCAAAATTTCGATGTTTTGTTCCCCGAGCCACTTAGTTATCACTTTTGCCTTATGGCAAGTTTTCTCCAGCATGCTGGAAAAGGCATTGTTCATCATCAAACTGTTCATGGACGGTTGGGAGAAGTTGCTCTCGGTGGATGTTTTTGTACCATTCTTTATTCATGGCTGTGTTCTTAGGCAAAATTGTGATTGAGCCCACTCCCTTGGCTGAGAAGCAACCCCACACATGAATGGTCTCAGGATGCTTTACTGTTGGCATGACACAGGACTGATGGTAGCGCTCACCTTTTCTGCTCCGGACAAGCTTTATTCCGGATGCCCCAAACAATCAGAAAGGGGAATCATCAGAGAAAATTACTTTACCCCAGTCTTCAGCAATCCAATCCCTGTACCTTTTGGAGAATATCAGTCTGTCCCTGATGTTTTTCCTGGAGAGAAGTGGGTTCTTTGCTGCCCTTCTTGACACCAGGCCATCCTCCAAAAGTCTTGGCCTTACTGTGCGTGCAGATGCACTCTCACCTGCCTGCTGCCATTCCTGAACAAGCTCTGCACTGCTGGTGCCCTGATCCCACAGCTGAATCTACTTTAGGAGACGGTCCTGTCACTTACTGGACTTTCTTGGGTGCACTGAAGCCTTCTTCACAGCAATTGAACCTCTCTCCTTGAAGTTCTCGATGATCCGGTAAATTATTGATTTAGGTGCAATCTTACTAGCAGCATTATTTATCCTTGCTAGGTAACCATAGTTAACAGAGGAAGAACAATGATTTCAAGCACCACCCTCCTTTTAAAGCTTCCAGTCTGTTATTCTAACTCAATCAGCGTGATCTCTAGCCTTGTCCTCGTCAACACTCTCTCCTGTGTTAATGAGAGAATCACTGACATGATGTCAGCTGGTCCTTTTGTGGCAGGGCTGCAATACAGTAGAAATGGTTTTGGGATTAAGTTAATTTTCATGGCGAAGAGGGACTTTGCAATTAATTGCAATTCATCTGATCACTCTTCACAACATTCTGGAGTATATGCAAATTGCCATCATAAAAACTGAGACAGCAGACTTTGTGAAAATTTATATTTGTGTCATTCTCAAAACTTTAGGCCACGGCTGTACATAAGACAGTATAAGAGCTACATTCACAAACAGTAGACAGATCAGACAAAAGAAAACAAATAGACTATTCAAATCAAACTGCATCCATTTGACCACAAAACCTGGATTTTCCCAGAAATATTTCCTGTCATAGGCTATTTCATTTCGTTTTACAAATAAAGTATGATTATAAACTCACTACCGTTCAAAAACACGAAATCAGTACAATTTTATTTAAAAGAAATTAATACTTTTATTGAGAAAGGAAACAAAAATATTGATCAAAAGTGACAGTAAAAATGTGTATGTTACAAAATATGTAGGCCTGTATTTCAAATAAATGGTGTTTTTTTAGCTTTCTATTCATCAAAGAATCCTGGAGAAATATGTATCATGGCTTCTTCCACAAACATATATTAATCAGCACAATGGTTTTCAATACTGATAATAAGAATTGTTCTTGAGCGAATCAGCATATCAAAATGATATCTGAAGGGTCATGTGACACTGAAGACTGGGGTAATGATGCTTAAAATTCAGCTTTGTATCAAAAGAATAAATTACATTTAAAAAATATTAAAACAGAAAACATTTATTTTTTATTCACAATAATACAGTTTTACTGTATTTTTGATCAAATGAATGCAGCTTTGTATTGACCGACACTGTGGTAAACTTCTGTGGTGACTAATAAGTTGTTCATAGAAATGTTTGTCCTCCAATTAAATAATAAACGTTTAACCGTGACCATTACTCAATGGCAATGTGTCTGCTTTAGCGGTGTTCAACCTTACATTAGACTCAACTTGGTTTCAAAATCCTCTAAACGTCTATGACCTCATGTTCAGACCCTCAGTAAGCAAGACACAAAAACAAGCAAGAAACGCCCGTATTATGGGCTTCTTAATGACATGTTTTGATTTCGCAGTTGTTGCTATTGTTTAGTTTCTAAAATCTTTAATAACTATCTGCAAGCAACTGGACAGAAACACCGGCGGTGGCTTGAACCCTAATGAGAAGTCTATCTAGACAGCATTTATAGTCACTTAATCCTAACGCGAATATGACGCCTAAACATGCAGTCTACCTAGGGAGCTCAATATGAGAGACAGTCAGTAATTACCGCTGACACGTCCCAAAGAATGTCAGCCCACTACATATGTAACAATTGTGCCGTTTCTGTAACAATGAGTTCAAATGAGTGCGTTATTAAGCAGAACAACGCTGTGTGGGAAATGAAACGATTCCAGTAGGGTTTTACCTCGGCGCTGCGACTCCACGCAACCCCGCTTCGACCAGGGAGCCCGAGGTCCTTCGGACATGGAGTGCTGGTGTTAGACAACGACCAGAGAAATTAAATATGACATCTCATTATCGACGGAGGTATGTTGCCCACTGGCGTCTTTAGGTGAGAATAAACCAGTGTTATTTGGACTGAATGGCTAAATGTTGTTTGTCGGTAGCCTCCACAGCGATCGTAGACGCCATATTATTGTCTGCACTGACGTCATTTCCCGAACATTTGTCGGTCGAACGGAAATGCTGGAGTTTGTGTGTCAATATTCTCTGCCTACTGTACATGTACAAAATGTTTTAGTTCACTGTCACAGATGCGAAAATTACTTAGAGCACATAAGTCGTGGTATATGTTATGATTTAACTTTTACTTTCCTTATGAATCCTTATGAACATAGAAACCTCCTGTTTCATATTATATTATATGTCTCTCAGGGACATGCAAAGAATATTCTTCTACTCTTTCTACAGCTAACCTAGTCATATTAATAGCTTATTCTGTTTTTGATGTCTGTGATTCAATGCAGGCTTTAAACTACTTTTCCCTTCACTTTATTGGTACTTTATTGATCCCTCAAGGGCAATTATGTTGCAAATTGCAAAAACAGATCAACACTGTATGGTGGAGAGTATGGTGTTACACATATTACAATAAATGCAGAGAGAGAAAAATAAAAACTATTCACAAGAGGTAAGTTTGCGCTGTCCACATTAAAGTTTTTTAATTAGTTTCAGAATGAATAGTTGACTTTGATATCTGTCAGCATGGGATCATCAAAAGAATATGTTTAGGCTAATTACAGTGATATGTTTCTTTATGAGGTAGGCCATAAAACTTATGATAATATTAAATTGATTTAGATAGATAGATAGATAGATAGATAGATAGATAGATAGATAGATAGATAGATAGATGGTGATTTAAAAACTACAAAACGTGTGACGTCATAACCATAAGACGGACCCTGGTTTTATCTTCGTCAATCCAACGTGTGTTCAAGTTTGTAGACGTTAATAATATATCAGGTAAATTATGCTGCTGGTTATGTTGGTGTTTTAAGTTTATGTTAATTATAATATAGGATGCATTTTCCGGTCTGTCCTCTCCGTCTTGGGGTTTACTGGGTTTTCTAGAAACTGATTACATCATCCCATGCCTTCAGGACGCCGGTAGATATATGAGTTTATAATTATCTATTTTGTTTTATGCCGTGTAATAGTGAAACGTAGAACACTATCTATATGTATATGTCAAGCACTTCAAAATAATTTAACGGGATATGCTTTAATGCCACACATGTATTTGTAAAAAAAAAAAACTGACAGGCGTTCGCTTGGTCATACGTCCATTCCTTTTCTAACAAGATGGCGGGCGACGAGTCTGGAACAACGTTGGGTCAGCCTCATCTTTCTAAACAAGACCTCAGTACATTAGTAGGTTTTCATCTTTTGTTCGTATTTGTAGTATAACATGTTGTAAAAGTACTAGCTGTATCGACATTTCGAGTTAAGTGGTTTACTCCGTGATGATAGCAGGCGTGCTTGTTAGCTGTACCGGTCCAAGCTCACCACATGATTCATTCGGGGATTGAGAAGGACCCTGTGTAGAAATTATGTGAAAGTGTTGTGAAACCCAAATGTTATTGTGTTTAATATAGTTCCAGTCATGTGCTTCTTTGTTTAGGTACTAATCTTGCATATTTCTAATAAAATTAATTATGTACGTCTGACGTTAAATGTAATGTACTCGACAGTTAATGTTCCCTTATGGCAAGCCATTTAAAAGGGGTCATATGATGCAATTTCAAGTTTTCCTTTCTCTTTGGAGTGTTACAAGCTGTTCGTCCATACACTTAACCACTGATTTCTAGTCGTGTCCTCTTTTTGCAAGGCCAAACAAAGTAGTTTCACTTTCACAACGAAACACAGCGTCACACACGGCGGGCTAGAGTGAGCGGAGGCCAGAGGCCTTGAGTGAGCGGCGGCGGGCGGGCTTGAGTGAGCGGAGGCCGGTGGGCTTGAGAACGGTGCGGCCGGCAGATTCGACGAAGGAGCTACCGGCGGGGGGGCGGGGACCA